AGCTCCCAGTTGAGCATGCCGGCAGGCTGGATCCTGCCTTTCCTTCATGGTCCCTGCCATAACTTAGGAGCTAATAGGATGTCAGCAGGCCTGACTGATTGAGGTGCTTCACTGCATTGAATGTGGTTGTACTTGAGGTGAATGAGACTTAGTGGGTTTACACACTATTCAGAACTGATGTGAAGCCAAACAAAAAGCATCTGGGGAAGCATCCAGGGAGCCAAGGTGCCGTCTCTGAACCAATAGAATAGTCCTAAATCAAGTCTTTCTCCTTCCATGCCTATTTCAGATATATTTGCTCTATAAAGCAGAGCAAAATCTCTCTCCGGAACAAAGTAAAGAAGGAATCTATTTTGTGTCAGGTATGGAGGAACCAGTACAGCTCAAGTGTGCACAAATCCCTCTTACTTCCCTAAACTCTGAAATGAAGATAAGAAATCAGTTAAAAGCATAAAAGCTGCATTTCAGGAATCTTTAGTCTGTGCTGAGGTCAAAAAAAGCAGGGTATAGTTATCGCTGAGATGACAAATGAGGATTAAATGATAGTATTCGCCTGGGTTTTGTAATTCCACGTGTGTCCTCAGAACATGAAATGCAGCTCTGAAGTGTGCACTGAACACTTTGGAAGCTAGATTAGTTTTTCCCAGTCCAGGGAAATCCAAGTCTGGAGAAAATACAGAGACTGCTGCAACTTGGCTCCTAGCAGTCTTTTCATGGCAGCATCAGGGAGCAAAAAAAACAAGCCTTAAATCACCTCACTTTTAAACACATGCTTTAAGCCTGGCTATGATCTCGCCTAGAGCTCCTCCTTGTGCTGACTTCTGCCCCAGCCACGGGTAACAAAGTTAGCAACACTCTGGTTTTCAGCATGTGACATGAGTAAACCAGTATCTCTCAGCACCTTCTAAGACTCTTGCACTTCCAGGAGCTTCTACAGCACTCTAAACTATGCCAATTTCCACAAGCAGGAAAGAAGTGTTTTGACAAAAAATACAGCTGTATGTGGACTCTAGTTCACAGTGACAGCACTGAGCCACGTACCTGGGGCAGAGGCATCCCTTCTTTTCCACCTGATAAAGGATTAGTTCTCTTTGCAGCCCAGGCCCATCACTACCCTTAGACTGTTCAACACAGGACTGTCTTCCCCAGCTGGTGCCCAACTCCTCCATCCCTCCAGCAGTCTAAGAAGTCCCACAATCCACCCTCCCTTCCTTCTTGCTAATACCACAGTGGTCTCTTAAGTCACTTCTTTCTTGGTCCTTCTCAACCCTTCCTTCCTTCTTCTCTTTCCTTCCATGTCCCCGTTCTTTTCCTTATCTGAGATGCACAAACTTGGACTCACCCCGCTCCGTTGTACCCAAGCCTGCTGCCTGCTCTTTCCTTTCCCCTCTGTTCGTCCACCTCAGCTTCAGCCCATCCTTCCATCCCAGCAGTGCACGGGGGCTGGAAGGTGGGCTCCTACGCCGTCAGCAGCCTCTTTAAACTGTCGCTGCTTTGTTAATCCAGGCTATGTATATGTGTGTGTGACTTTTGGGTACAGTTGCAGCTCAGTAATTTTGCTGTAAAATCTGCATGGAGAAAAGTTTGTTAGTTATTGGACCTTAGTATCCCAGCTCCACTCCATTCGTGTTCCAGAACATAGAAATTGCACTTCAGTAACTGAGATGAATGTGATGCTAACCTGTGAAGGTTCTCATGCTCTTGTCTCAGCATCCTTTTTTAATAGGTAACCTCTCCTGTGGCCCACCTTTATATATACCATTTTCATTATCACCATAAATCTTGTTGTTTTTGGCCTAAGGAATAGAGTTCATTTTTATAAATGATGACTCTCTTTCTCAGCTCTGTCTGCATCTATATTGCTCCTCTTCTCGTGTCTTTAATTCCTCACACGTTTCCTAGGATCACTCTCATTGTTTCTTTCTGGAGAACAGATTTTGATCCCAGTAATGCTGACATAAATCCAGACCAGCTCTGCATTTAATGCAGTTAAATGTATGTATAATGAAATTTATCATTTTCACTATACACATATTCGTTACACATAAATAAGACACCACAGAAATTATAAATGACACTGATTTGAGCTATTTCTAGAACACACAGCAGATATTAATAACAGAAGTGACTTGTGCAGATTTGCCGAGCTGTGATTTTTGTTTTGTTAAGGAGAAACAGCCAGGAAAATGTGGCATATTTTCCAGCAATTCATATGAAACCTCAGCACATTATCTGAAATGTGGTATCACTGATTCTTCTTACCCATGAACTCCAGCAAAGCAGAGAACCCCCAGCCTGTGCCAGCAGTCTAAAAGAAAACAAGGATGAGGGAACAACGCCTTTTTGCATACAGGAGTTGGCCATGCCTCACCAAACACAAATCCAATTCATCATCTTCCAGACGCTATTTCATACCAACAGTTTTGCTGTCTCTTTAATGCATCTGTCTGTTTATCTATTCCCAAGTACCATCTGCTTGTCCTGCTCTCTCTGCACCGCACATGTTCACAGCTACTACACCTCCAAGGTGACAAATGAGCAGTCGAGCTAATTTCATTGGGATAAACAAGAAAGCAAGAGCCAGATGGAAAGCCATGGGAAGAGCCAATGTCATTTAGGGGGAGGAGAGAGTGTTTGGAGGAAGAATCACCATAACAACAGCAAGTGGAAAGAAGAGGTTTCTATTCTGTCTATACCACTAATTACTATGAATATTTTATTCTTGCCCTGTGGTTTATCCATGTCCAGATCAATGATTTACTGGCAGATGGCTTAGGGTTTTTTTTTTTTTCTTTTGAAATTGTACTGTTTTTTTTTTTTTTCAGATGCTCATAGGAAAGCAGTGCTTGGAGGAGTTTGATGGCTTCATGAATTTTGAAATAAGCCCGTCATTTCATTTTGAGTTTAATTACTCTAAAGATGCAAGTTGCTCAATGATGATGTTCATTCAGATCCTGCTTCCAGTTTATAGACAAGTTTTTGTGATCGTAGCTTATTTTGTCTATATGGCATTTCGCAGCACTGGCACAGCACACAAATTTTACAAATAAATAATCCTGACTACACTGGCAAAATTCCAGCTGACTTCAAAGCACCAGGATTTCACTGTCTATCAAAACACAAAGATTGTACCCATTTGACTAAATTGGTTTAAAAAACACTTTAGTTAAGTATACCTTAAGCTCCACAGTAATTTGTGTGTTGTGTTAAAGCCATTTTATATTGCCTTAGTTTGCCTCTGCAAGAGACACATTCTAAACTGATCTAAATAAGCCTATATAGGTCTTAACATAAAATGTTTTTTTCAATATGATTTTAGTTAAAATCTATGCAACTTTGTTTGATGTATATTTATTTATGTAGCACAATACAGTTCAATGCAAATAAGCTTTATCTGTTGTGTGAGTAGCTAGCTTAGAGCTGGAAGTAAAACTCTTTGCTCAGGTTAATAAGCTCTGGCCTTGTTCAAAAATGGCACAGTGCAGTATCTCTCAGAAATACCTGTGCTAGGTAGACGCTCCCATATAGTAAAAGCCAGTGACCTTACTGCAAAGGAGAATCTGGCTTGTAATTTTTAGTGGCATACAAATACACCACTGGTAAATGGTGTATTAGTAAAACCATTAGACTAGGAAACCTCTCAAGTTCATTGTTCACTCAAGTTCACTGACATTTTGCCCAATAATAGCTCATTAAATTTAACAATACAAGCTCAGCAAATGTTTTCTTTCACTAATGTGAACAGACAGGGCACTTTCAAAATGTCTCTCCTTCTTGTACATTATCAGTATCATTTAGTGAGAATTCGTTCCTACATCTCACCATGTACTATTCAAAAAAAATAATGCATGTGAAAATTGCACAATCTAACAAAATCTCTTTACCGGGGCTTCCAAAAATCAAATTTCACTGCTCTGCACCTTCAGGGATTGTTCCAGAATCTAATCTATCTGCATCGGAAACTTATTTCAGTGAAATGTCTGTCAGAAAAAAAAAATTGTTCAGTTCTCCAGTAGAGTAGAAGCTTTCACTTTGAAGATGCGTTTTCTGACAACTTCCTTTACTGCTCTTCTGTAAGAAAAGAGTCATTCTTGATATAATACAGACGTTTACTATAAGCATTTGCTTCTAAATACAATTGTAGAGTCTGCAAAATAGGAAGTACTCTATTTTCATCAAACTTGAGATATTCTGCTGAATGGTAAAGAATCATGCTGTATGCTGGAAGACTTCACTCTTTGTCTCCCTTCTCTTAATAAACACACGGTTCTCCATGAGCTTACTCAACCAGTTAGCTTTTGTTATGTTAAACAGTCATGGAAAGATTAAGATCTGCCCTATGCTCCTGGGTGTTCCAACTGCATTTGATAGCATTTGCATGAGAAATAATGTTAAGACACTGTTTGATTAAATTTTGTGCGTGGTATTATGTGACACAGTAGCACATTAAACTGGAGGCCTGGGCTTAATAAGCAGAAGGGTCCTTCCTCTTCAGTAGCCTAAGTTCCTAAGAGAAAGGACCACTCATGAGAAAAAAAGCTCCTCAAAATAAGCCTGTAAATGAGGAATTTTGGTCCTTAACTTTTTTCTAAGGCTTTTCTAAGGCATGTTGGACTCCACAGAAAGCAACATGATGGTAAATCTTACTACGTGTTCTTCTACATTCATAAATAAACAAAGCAAATTAGGTATGTTCTTCAGGCATACTATAAATTAGGACCTTAAAAATAATGGTGTTTGGGACTAAGAATGTTACGTATCTCTAAATGTTAGTTAAACAAATTTATGCCCTTTGCAGAGGAAAGTGAAAAGGAATATTGCCATAAACTTAGCTCTTGTACATGTGTCTACTGGTGGTTTGCTATTGTAAGAAAAAGGTTCAGGTCCCATCATTTTAAGATGTAATTAAAATCTCCTTAGCCAGATAGTTTCAAGAGAACAGATAAAGAGAACCTGCCTAGGCACAAATGACTAAGACTTTCTTCTTTCCTCAGTGTCCGTGAGATGCCCAAGGGCCAGGAAGGAAGACCTCAAAGTCCATCAGAACTTCTCCTGAATAAACATCAGAAACTCCTACGGAAAACTTTACCCAGGGCCTCTCTGAGAGAAGAGCCACAGCACAAGAGGAAAATGTTTGGGATCAGCTCTGTTATTGATTTTCAGTAACATCCCTTTCATCCTCCTGCCTACAGCAAACTTTTCAAAGTGTTTCTGAAGACCAGGCTTGGCCAAGGCAGCCTTGGGTAGGTTAAGAGTCCTTTTCTGGGTGTTTTTTTTTGTTTTGTTTTGTTTAAGCTCTGTTATTTCTGATTCAAGCACTCTCCTTCTCCATCCATGGATAGATGTGCTACTGGTGACCTGCTCACTCTTCGTTGCTAAGGTGGAAATAAGTCAATGGACTCACTTACTTAGCTGCCATGTTCTCCCTCTGAATGCATGAGGCTTTTTGGATGAGTATGTGGCACCCTGAAACTGTGAAGCAGCTGCATAAGGTGCATTTGCTTTGGAGAGGATTAGCTCTTTCCAGTGCTATCAGGATTGTCTGAGCCAATCTTCTGGGTATGAAAACATATTAAAAATCTTTGCAGAAAAAGCCTTGTGTGGCTTTAAAAAGATTGCCTGTCCATCTCTCCCTGTGTTTATTTTCTTTCCTTAAGGTTAACTCCACCTCACTGAGGACCTGACCCTCCTTGTTCCTGGAATAAGAGATGGCATGTCTTTTGCTAGGATCAGAGGTTAGTACCAGGACAAGAAACTGAGAAAATTCGAAGAAAATCTATTTCCAATATTAAAATACAAGTTGTATAACTTTCGTTTATACTTGTTAGAATAGTCATGTGACTAAGATTTGCATGAATACACATTATTTCAAAACCATACAGCTCTGAATCTAAACTACAGTGTTAACAATCAATAATCAGCTTTGTTGCATCTTCAGTCACAGATATTAGAAAAGCTGCTGTTGCATTTGCCAGGTCCTCAAAATGGATCACATCATGTGACAGAGTGGGAGAGAAAAAAAAACAAGAAAAATTCTGCAATGAATTTGCAATCCAGAAAGAGATACCTGCTCCTGCACTCATCCCATCTCAAGCCACCTGTATTATAGCTCTCTGCAAAAACACTACTATCCTCTGGCCTGCAAAGCCAGATATCTGGAGAAGAAGCTTTGGGTGGGGATTGCTGAGTGGAAGAAGGTTACATTTCTGGTGAGTTCAGTCCTGGGACAAATGGCTTTAAGTTTGCTGTTCCTACATTAAACACCATGAGATTTTGAGACTTCTCAGCTTTGCTGCCTCCATCTGTAATACCTCCCTTTCTCATAGCAGCTTTGTAGAGCTAAGCAAGTTAAGACATGCAGAGCATTTTAAGAAGTACACTATACTCAGCTTTATTATTAAAGTGCTGATGTGCTCTTTTCCTAAGAAAAGGTACTAGGTCTCCTAAAAAAAAAAAAAAAAAAAAAAAAAGCTTGAAGGAATTTTTTGGAAGAAAATTAAATATAGACCTGCTTTAGACTCTTTCTTATCTCTGCATGTACATAACAGTCAAGCATAGCATCATTTAATTCTACGTTAGTCTAATTGCTGGGTACCTACCACTTCCATCTGTGCATATAATAGTGAATGCATGCACTGAGGGCTTAACAACTCAGACACCAGCTCAGATGAACAAACGCCCTAGAATTATCACTGATAAAATCATCCATACGTTTAAGCTCTTAAATTAAGAGGACTGCCAGTGCATGGCTATGTACCAAAAAAACTAGAGATGTGAACCGGAAGTGATTAGATTGCCCTGGTCAGGCTACATCTGTAGTAATAATTAAATGTGCCTGGGACCGTTTTCTAGCACTGCAAGCGCAGTGTCTGCGCCTATATTATTAAACAGACATAGCCCTCAAAACAGTAATCCTGGTGGGAACATTCCCCCCCAAATTCTCAGGCACCTTTAGCAGGAAATGCTAACTGACCTGGATCACAATCATGACAGGGATGGCTTAAAACATCTAATAGCTTAAAAAATCTAATCTCACTGCCAAGAAATTTTCTCTGGAACTGTTTAATTTACTAGTCTAATTTGCTAGTGAGTCCGGCTCAATAGAAGTGTCTATCTGAAGAGATATAGTGCACAGACAGGTGGAGATAATTTCCGTTTGGTTCCTGTTACACAGAAATACCATCTTGATGTTTCTACACCATTAATACAATTGCCATATGATTTTCTGTTCTTCAGAAAGATTTGACTATGAAGTAGCATACTTTGTGTAATTATAGATACTCCCAAGTCAAATATCCCAAACAGCTTTCTACAGCAAAAACAGTTGTTACAGTTGTATTTATGGTGACATTTCAGAAGAATAATGCAGGGGAATAATGAACAAAAGCGTTGATACAACAGGATCATAAAAGCCTACTTCATACTCAGTACATAAACTGGCATTCCCAAACTCATTTTCATTTATGTTACTTGAGGTTTTTAGCTGACTTTTCTCTCAAGTTTTTTTTGGTTGGTTTGTTTGTTTAAGGTTTGAAGGGACACAGTTTCCAATATGGGCCTTTTTCAAAACCTAGGGTAGATTTTGTGGCAATCAGTTAATACTCTGTTTTTAACTAATGCAGTGTTCTTGATTACTCTAGTTACTCTAAGCCTCCAAGACTGTGAACTGACACTCTTTAATAGTGGATCAGATCTTGTACTACACAGTAAGTATATTTAGCTGTTTCCTTTCTCCATAGTGTCACAGAACCTGACCTTCTTTCTATGTTTGCACAGGAAGGAAGGTCCCAGATGGAATATTCGCTCACCTCTTGAATGCTTCATCCTGTTCCTTCAGTCCCAACTTTGAATGCTATGTCCAAAGCTTTTGCCATTTCAGCACTCTTGTCCTGTGACACCAAAGTGAAGTTTCTCTTCCTCATAATTTCTACTCATCTACTCGTTGAGAGGACAAAAGGCAACAGGCAGAAACTGAAACATAGGAAGTTCCATCTGAACACGAGGAAAAACTCCTTTCCTGTGAGGGTGACTGAGCACTGGAACAGGTTGCCCAGAGGGGTCTCCTTCCCTGGAGATATTCAAAAGCCATCTGGACGCGATCCTGGGCAACGTGCTCTAGGTGACCCTGCTTGAGCAGGGAGGTTGCACTAGACGATCTCCAGAGGTCCCTCACAACCTTGGCCATTCTGTGATTCTGTGATCTCAGTTCTACCCTGCTTCACAGACATACCTCTCTACTGCTGAATCACCCTCTTGGCTTCCTTCATCTTTCCACTTATACTAGCTTTAACACTGATTATTAATGGGAAAAAATGACTATGCCATGCCCACTAATACCTAGGCATGTTCTTCCACAACTGCTATGTAGACCTGGTTCATGCCTTTCCACCAGAAAAGCCCTCAACTAATTAATGCTAGGTTAAGGACCAGGAGTGACTGCTGATCCTTGGCAGATTTTTGGTGTGAAAATGACAGGGTGCTAAGTTCTTGCTGGTACATGCTAAAACATATAGTGTGTGTGTGTGTACATTTATATGTATATTCTCACTGCTGTTAGTCTTTTCCCTATTTCCACTCATTTATTGCACTTTTTTCGCCTACTGTAATGATTCTTCTGCTTAAGATCAGAGACAGTGTCTGTGTCACCGTTATTGCAGATTCCTGAGTAGCTCCTGGATGATACAACGTTATATACAGTTTGTTTCAAAAGTGTCTGAAGTTACCATAAGGTAACATGGGAAAACGGAATCTCTCTAAACAATGTGGATGTTCCTTAATTTCATCCAGTGAGAGTATTGAAAGCTTCTGTCACCCTTAGATATGACATCACTACCATGAAAAGGTATTTCAAGAATATTAGTATCAATAATATCTCATATAAAGGTCAAAAGTTAAAGAACATGCAGATTTCCTCCTTGTATTTATTAGAGGACTTCCAACAGAAAGTGTTTTCAGACAGAACAAACACTCTGAAAAGCAAAGCCAACTCTGAACACTGAATATGAAATTTAACAAGCAAAAGCACTGACAGCTGGTCAAAGATTAGCAGTTTCCTAGGTTTCCATAAGAACAGATCACTCGCCCATACCACTGGCTTACTATATATTAAATATTCCAGTCTTTCACTTTAAGTGCTTGGTTTTAGAGAGTGAATTTCCAATTATTTGGTATATGCCCTTCTTTGGGATTTACACAGCTATAAATTCATGGCATAAACCAGAACACAACCCATCATTCAATACAACATTCTATAAACACTGAAAGAGAAGCAGTTTGGCTCTTATACTTCAAACATGAAATCAGTGGAAGAGCACTGAAGAATGCCAATGCCAGACAACTGTTTTGCGGTAGAAGAAAACATTGGTCCTTTAACCAAAACTGAATGTGGTACCTAGTTTGGCATTGTCATTCTCGACGTTACAGTGTACACAGTTGGTAAGCCAGGGAGAAAGCGAAGTTCAGGCTCTTAAGCCTAAAGTATGATTCCAACAAGTCTTTTGACTCTTGGTAGTTTGGCAGTCTGCACATGCCAAGGAATCCAACAGTGCCTTGACATTAGAAATGGTTTGACATCAGATACTGCAAAGGACACAAGATCAAGAGGGACACCCACGTCAGGCCAAGTTCCAAGTTTACTTGAAAGCTCCCAGCACGTGGCCACACTGGTCACAGCAGCAACATCTCGCTACTTCCTACTGAACAGATACTACCCAGTAGACCTTTTGACACATAAATTTTCTCATTAGTGAAAACAGCCAGTGAAACACCTGACATACTACCTCCATGCCATACTATCCTTTATATCATGCCATGGAAATATAAGCCTACTTCTAATCTTTGGCATGCATTCAGAACATACTATATTGTACATCATTTCTTCTGGTGTGCATGTGTCACTGGTCTCTGTTCCCTTAGATATCAACATTTGGTCAACACCTTGATGGCTCTCATGGCCGATATTGACAGGTTTGATCTTTTAGCCTTCCTGTTCATGTATATGCAGAGATTTAGGGCTAAAGTATGCCAGAAAAGTAGAGGGCACGTGATTCTACACCTTCTTTTTGGAGGGACCCTGCTGTTAACATTCAGCAATGGTCTGGTGTGGAAAAGGTTGACCTTGTTCATGTGGAGTCCGACCAGGTGTAACAGAATTTGATAAATAAGAGTTTTTCTCTGTCCAAGTTTCTATCTACACTTTCATTTGGAATTTTACAATGGTATTTTTTCTACTATCTTTCACAGTCTTGAAATATTGTTAATTCCTTCACTCTTTTCAAGCTTGAATGAAGACAATGATGATCAGCAGAGCCTTCTTCCATCCCTACTGGTTTAGGGGAAAGTACATTTTCCTTTCAGACGTGGATCTCTTCGCGATTACCAGTATCACTGAAGGGCCCAAGGAACATAATGTGGAGTACAATACAGTCCCTCTTAAATACAGTAGCCCTTCTAAGTGTTATATCAAGTGCTAAGCTAAGTTTTAGTTTTAACATACATGTTCTGTGTGCTGTATTAACTTCATGACAGCTCAGGATGCAATTTCATCATAACAGCAATAGTCTTTGAAATCCTGCTTAATCTGAAAGCTGGTTAATCGGCAAGAAAATCTATTTCCTTCTACCACAGTTGAAAATAGCAGGAACATTAGGGATTTCAGAGTCCAGAATTCTGTTTTCAGCTGTCCTAGGAAAAATTTGTTGCAAACAAGAGTTTAGAAAGTTTTGTATCTTATCTCAAGGCAATTTAATCAGTGGAGCTTGGCATAAACACAATTTTATTTCCAGACCAAACAATTCTGGGCTAATTGGAAACCTTAAAAATAGGCACATTTTTATGGATGATGAAACTTTCATAAGACTTGGCTGCAACAGCTTTTTAATGCATTGCACATACTCAGCTATACTGTTATAGATGGCATATAATGCACTAATATTTGCTGCATGTTCAAGAAACAGCTAAATGTTTTCAATAATCCCTCCTTTTAATAAAATATTCCAGATATCTGTATTGCACTAAATCCTGTGCAGCTATTTGGCATGAACTCTATCTTCAGACTGTTCTGCAGAGTTAAACTTTGCCAAGACTGAAGTATTGATTGCTACTTATTGTATACTGCAGTCTAAAAAATTTTTGTGTCCTGGCCAGCCATATACATGGAGAAGGGCATATACATAGCCCTGGAGAAATTACTTCTACGTGTTAATAGTCCCATCCTAATGGAACAAGGCACTAACAAGTACCTTTTATAATTTTGTGTGATGAAGCAATCAGTCCAGCTCAGTCATTAGGATATTACAGAGGAAGCAAAAACAACTGGCTGCCACATGTGTTCAGTTTAGCTCAGGGCACTAAAACAGGGACAGCTCCACCTGGGTGGGAGGCTATGACCATGTACTCCCACAAAGAGGAAGAGATGATGAAACATCTGAAAAGCTGAAACAGAGGCTAAAACTTTTCTGTAGTCCTGTATGAAGGATAGACTTTATACTACATCATGAACTCCACATTTTCATGTGCTTCACTTTTTTACCCTAAACTTTAGCTGAGCAAGCTTTAACTGACTATTCAAAAGAACAGTTATTGCATATTAAATTTTATAATTATACATATGTGCTTGGGGGAAGACTGACTCAAGAATCTGGTAATAAAGAGAGTTTACTGTTAGAGCACTTTGTCCTTTTAAGCTTAAGATTAAAGGTTATTATCTCAGTTTAATTTCACTCTGAACATTAATGTTCTCCATCTAGTTCTCCGGAGACATGCACCCATTTGAAGAGACTATCACCATAACTGTATCTTGTCACAAGTCTGAGGCAGAAAAGTTAAGTTTGGGTGTGAATAAACACAGCTTGACAGAGGGATTTTTTTCAAGTATGCAACTGCAAATTGATGAAATAATTGAAGTCGTTCACAGTGACTTGTAGAGTTAGTTACTTTTCTATACTAACTAACTTATTATCAAAGCAACTATGCATCTGGGTAGCTCAAATTTTCACCTTCTGTGGTTACTCATTACCATTTTTAGCCTGGTTTCTTGAGGAAATGTGGTCTTTTCTGTAGCATTTGCATGTCTGTTTGTCCATTTCCATCCAATCTGACACTAAGAGAAGCCTTAATAGATAATGTGAGACAATTCAATTGCTCAGACATAAGCATCTAGTGCTATTTGAGATGCCCACACACATCCTCCAGAGAGGTAGAGATCTTCAATGTATTTTGTATCATAGCTCCAGTCCCACATGGGAGTGTCTAGGGAAGCACGTCAGGTTTAGACAATCACACAAATGTTTAGGCAACTGAATCCTGCACTGACTTCCAAGTTTTGTAAAAATCAGCCGCCTATTGAGTCAATATCTGCAGCATAAAGGTTAACATTTGTCCGCCACCTCTGAAGCACCAGTTGGCCGATCAGTACGTACGCTGCTCAGGGCTAGCCACAGCCACAGCCAGAGCCAGGTGCTGCCTCTTTCAAAGCAGTGGGTGTGTGTATGGCAGGGCCAGGAGACGCCGTGGCCAGGTTTAAGACTATGTGGACGTGGGAACCACAGGCAATGACGGGGATCTCATAAAGGGCTGCAATTATTGCAGGGAGGTCAAGCCTGGAAATAAGACACAGACCTACAGAAAACCAGAATTCCTGACTTCCACTGCTTCCCCTGTTTATTTTAGTTGCTGCTTATATAAATATCATTTGCCAAAACTGAATTGTCTTTGTGACTAGTTTTCAGATTTCTTGGAACTTCTCACTAATTTCTCCAGACACAAATGACCCAAAAGGCCCTGATTCATTTGCAGATGTTTCCTCCGTGCTAATCATTTACCCTTGCAGTCACTAGTAATGATACTCTTAAGTCAGATACAAGGCACAGCTGCCAAAGAAGCCCCTGCAAGAACGTGCCTGATTTCTGGGCTTCAGTGAGGACGGTTATTGGCTACACACAGACCCAGTTCTTAGAAAGGCATCTCCCTCTCAGATGTATACTATAATACAGTAGTATTTTTGTA